TGATACATAAGATTGTACTCACATTGATATGTGCCTCTTTTTAAAGTAAATGCCCAAATTACACAGCCTTCTGGGAAAAACTGACATAGAAATATACCTTATTTCTGTGCAAACACACACACACACACGCACCAGAAAACAGTCCTCTCTTTAAATGGTAAATGACATATGTTCTACCTTTGAACTCTGGATGTATCAGCCTCAAACCAATGAAATTTCAGAAAGAAAAACACAATGGTGAGAAAAATCATGGTGGAAAATGATATATATATCTAAGTAATTAGCCCTCCTTAATTTGAATATAAATTCTTTGTCTTCTAACCTCTGAATGCATCCATTGCCGCATTAATCAAAGGTCACAATGTTGTAAGTACCAAGATTTTAGCATTTCCCAGGCCTAGAGATGAGTAAGAAAATAATTGATTTTGCATATATGAAGAAAAATTTTAGGTTTATTTTAGGGATCCTCTGCCTGAATTTGCAGTTCTGAAAAATCTCTTTTAATAAATGATGAGCACCCCCCCCCCGCCCCGCTCTCCCATCCCCCTCCATCCCTTGGCTCATGGATCTTCATTTCACTGAGTCTAGAGAAGTCAATTACCATTTGCAGTATCCAAGAAGGAGTTAGGGATTGTCAATGGTGAACACCTGAATCTTGGAAACAACTCAGCGGCACTCTGCCCCCTGGTGGACTGTTAAAGGATGGACTTTCATGAAGGGTGAAGAAGCTTCACTTGCCACCCACTCTCCCTACCAGCCTCTACCCTTTTGAAAGCTCCAGTAGATGCCCCAGTTAAAAGCTTTTACCCCCACTAATTACACATTAACTTGAATCAACAACTTTTTTATATATGTAAAATCATCCCTCCAGAGCTAAAATAAGAACCATATTAGATCAACACGTTATCATTGATTATCATGGCTCTTCTTCATGGCTCTCTCTTCGTAAGAGAAAAGCACGAAAAGGGAAAATGAAACACTAAGGGAAGATGCAGATGTGGAAAGAGGCTTTGGATTCTTGGGAAAATCTCTAGACAAAGAAGAGGAAGAAGAGTTTAAAAGTGAATAAGAGGATGCTATAGGACATTAAATATTTGGCAATTTCCTTTTGGCCATTGGGGCCACCACAAACCAACCCTCATGTCCGCTTTTGGTCTTTGGGCTGTTTTTCACTAGCCTAAGTGGGTAAGTGTGAAAAGACTCCTAACTTCCATCACTTCTGGTCTAGCCAGGTTTCTCCCATACAGGCTAGCTTGGTCCTCCCCAGTCCAACCTCTCTCCAATAGCCATCAGTTTTTCTAAGCTACAGCCTTGCACCACAATGGAGGCAATGGGGAAATCATGGCTAACAAGGAAGGACATGTGCTGAGTGTCAGGTATTTCGATAGGTGTGTTACAGGCAGAGGTGCATGCAACGAATTCCTTTGGGTTGCCTTTGAGGAGAGCCACACCACTGTAAGGCACTCTATTTGCGATTCAAACTGAGGACTTTGATTCCAAAGCTGTTTTTGTGTCTACTCCTCTGCTGTTCCATAGGTCAGTCTCCTCCTCTCACATTTTCCCAAGGCTCCTCTAACCCTGCTTCTTTGTCTCCTTTTTCTGTTTTCAAGCACCAGGAAGTACTTTGGAATCCCACTATCTAGCCTACAGACTAAACGTTCCCTCTTAAAAAGAGGGGTCCGGAAAACTCTTGTGATGGTGCATCTGACTTACCTCCTTTGCAGCATGTGAGAGCATGGTCTGCCTCATTCCTTTCAAACCCTTCCTACAAAATCCCCCAAATTATGGCAGTACTCATGCCAGTCCACCACAGTCTCGTTTCTCATCAATTATTCTCTCTTGCAGGTTTGAAGTCCTAAATGCAACACAGAATCCAAAGAACCAATCTTTCCATACTAATAGAATCACCACCCATTCTTTTTTGAACACGGAAAGGACTTTATTTCATTAGTTTCCTAAACGTCATTTCTAATTACACATTTGTTGAAAGGTGGAACACCAAAGGCAATTTTCAGTCACAGCAACTCCATCAAATACACATAATCTGAGATTTTACCGCTTGAGTGAATTATAGTCCTCTCAGGATTTCCTGGTTAAAGAAGATAAAAAGTAAGATAATAGAGAGGAAAAGTGAAGAATATTACTCTAGAGGAAATCTGTTGAACTCCATAACCTTCATTCATGGGTGCCGTGTCCATTTTTAAAAAGGAAACTCTAATAAAATTCCTAGAAACACAAGACAATATTGGTATTTTTTAATGAGTATACATTCATATATTTGTGTGAAATTCTGTGCAATTAAACAATATGGCAAATGTTAGTTGTTATCGCAGCCAATGAAAATATATTTTCATTTCTATGTAAGTTTAACATTTCCATCTCCCATTTTATGTTCTGCGAAAAAGCCGTATGTCTAGTTTACAAAACAAACTATGCTAGAGGCAGCAGTAACTGACAAGGAACTTAACAGCCTTAACTACATGCCCCTGGGATGAGTACACTTTGCATTATCAAGTGCAATGCTGGATGATGATTCTAGATCTCTTATAACTACAAGGGTTTGCAAGCTTCTACTTCACACAATATGCCCCAAATTCAGTCAATTAGGCCAAATAATAAAGCAAAACCGTTAAGTGGGTAATCTACAAATGGCAAACAACCCATGTGACTAAGTTGACCATGTTTTGTTAATAGGACACAATCATGTAGGTGCCCTGTAAAGAAGTCATTTGTAAGTGGCTATTTATTTCACTTCATTTTACCCCCTCAGGCTCCTAGAAGTTGGCTTAATTGTTTCTTAGGCCCAAAGAAAATACAGCTGCATAGACAAAAGACAAACATACTGGTAACACAGAAACAAGTACCGTGCTGAATGTACATTCCCATCAGTAGTAAGCTAGATGTCTCCATAGGAGAAATGTCACAAAATATACAAAAACTCTGGGGCTGTAACAGAAATATAGGGATTGTCTAATGCCTAAAATTTTATTTTACTCCAGCGACAGGTGTACGTGTTGATCAAAAATCCCCCTTTTTACTTAGTTTATGTGTGAACTTTTGAATAGTCTATTTTCAGGAGTCATTACCCCCAGAGTGAAGGTCTGCACAGTAGGAAAGCAGCAGTGTACTTCAGCTCAATACATCTATTGTCTCACAGTCTGGACTGGGGAGCTTCAAGCAGGGAGTGAATTCATTTTACAAAGACAACTTGCTTCTGCAGACAAAAGGTATCAAACTGCAGAAAGCTCTCTGAAGAATGGAGTGTGAATCTTCTTTGGCATATTAAATGCTCCACATACAGAATTTTTTTCTTTTTTTTTTTTTTTTTCTGTGCAGATGGATCCTTCAGGGCTACTCCTTTTTATTTAGATAATGTATTGTCATCTTTTGTTGTGTTATCTTTCCCTGTGTTGGAAGAGTCCTCAGAGTGAATTTGAGACAACAACTAAGTATTTTTGAAATTTGAAAAGACAGATAAATATAAAGTATTACTTTTATTATATTCATTGAGGTATCAGGTCAGTGACAAATTTCCCCGGTTCAAAAGCTTATCAGTTCCCTGATTGCCTAGTTAAGTCAGGTTTGGTTCCATGAGTTACAGGAAAAACAGGCTCAAGTTTAGCTTCTCTGAGCTTTTATAAAGTCTTTGCATGTCCTTTACTAATAAATTTTTATTCCCACCCAAACTTCAATAGCAAGGGAAAATAAACAAAATTTTTTCCTTTAATATAGTTTTTTGGGGTTCATACTGCACTTTGAAGATTTTTGGAGAAAGGAGCTGGTTCTCTTGGTTGCTTTATATGTTAGCACACAAAGGAATTACAGATGGGAAGGAGTGTAAATGACTATCAGAAAAAAGTCTCATGCATTTAAGATTTTTTACAAGTCAAAATATACATCCTCCTATTGCCCCCCATTCCTTAGTTATAGAAGAACCATTTCTATTTTAGCCGTCTCCTTTACATCTCACTGAATTGGACAAGGAATAAGAATACTTTCCCTGTAAGGAGCAGTATATACTCATCAGTTTAATCGACTGCATTAGTAAGAAATATAGCAGCAGCTTGGGCTGAGTCACCCATCATATCCTTCATTTATGAGGATTTAAATGTGTAAAATAACAGGTACATGAAATTAGGAAGAAAAATAAAGCAATCTGCAGACTTTGGCACTAGCACACATAATGTTTTGTTTGAGTTGTTAGAATGTGGGTTGACAATCACTAAATAGGAATTTAAAAAAATTACAAATCTGCAGAAAACAAACAATCATAGGTGTGGATTTCTCAGTTTAATGCTCCCCATCTCCCATTCCCACCCACCCACCTCATATAGTTTGAATTATAATAAAAATAGAGATCTTAACATCAGAATTTTGCTGTTAACTCTTCAAGGTTTCTCTGCATCCTCCAAGCCACACGTAAGGTTTGAAGCACCAAATCCACAAGTTTCTCCAACCAAGTTTAAATAAACAAAATCTGGAGACTGAAGGGTGCCAAAGTAACTCTTCTGAAATGAGGCTGAAACACAAAGTTCTCCCCAAAACAAAGGGTATTATGCGTCTAGTTCAAGTACTGCCAGGCTGTATGTAGATCTGTCTCAGACAGGCTTCAGACAACTACAAGTACCACGGGTTCTAGAGGGCATGATCCATGATACCGAAGCAGGGTGGGGATCCCCCTTCTTTCATTGATTTTTAAAAAGTTACAACCTTCCCCTGTGACTGGCTGCGGCAGGGTCAGTGCTGGACCTGGAGTTTGAGGGGACGAAGTGAGCCTTCCCCTGCAGGGAAGCTCTACCTTTAGTGCGAACAGTTCTCCTCTCAGAGCTCTCTCTCTCTCTCTCAGGGCTGTCCTGGCTTCTCAGGATCCACTGCCCTTGCCCAGAAGACAGAGTCTCAATCCGACCCAGTAACAGTGAAAGAAGAGTCGACCTACCTGTGGAACCAGACCCCACATGGTCCCCAAAGGCCGCTCAGGCTACCTCATTGCAACTGACAAGTCAACCTGTGCACTTAAAGCGTATCAGTTTATGGAATGCTTGTTTGAAGTCCTCATTGGACATGGTATAGATGATGGGGTTGATAAGGGAGTTGAGATAGCCCAGCCACGTGAAAAAGTCAAAGATGGCCAGGTGGAACCAGCAAGCATCCTTGCAAATAGGCATCACTAGGGAGATGATGAAGAAGGGCAGCCAACACACGATAAAGGCTCCCAGTATGATCCCCAGGGTCTTAGTGGCTTTGCGCTCCCTAGCGGCCATGAGTTTCTTCTTCTCTAACAGGGCGTCGGAGACTCGCACTTTGACTTGGTTCACGTACACGGGGGACCCGGATTCGCTGGGCACATCGGGAGCCCGCGAGTTAACGGAGGTGACCGAGGACGTGGACCCGGGGGAGTCGGTTATCAGCTGGGCTCGGGTCAGGCGCTTGCCGGTCCTGTTGGGCGTCTGTTTCAAAATCCGGGAGCGGGCTTCCACATAGATGCGGCCGTAGAGGGCGATGAGGAGCAGGGTGGGGAAGTAGAAAGCGCCCACCGTGGAGTAAACGGTATAGAGGATGTGGTCGGTGTTCACCACGCAGTCCGACACCTCCTCCTCGGCTTTGGCTTGACGCCAGAAGAAGGGTGGCAGCGAGATGGAGATAGAGAAGACCCACACCAGCGCGATCATGACCGCAGCCCTCTTGGGAGTCCTTTTAGCTGAGTATTCCACGGCGTCCGTGATGGCCCAGTAGCGGTCCAGGGCGATGACACAGAGGTGCAGGATAGAAGCAGTGCAACAGGTGATGTCCGACGACAGCCAGAAGTCGCAGACCACCTGGCCCAGCGTCCAGCGGCCGGTGACCGTGTACATGGTGCTGATGGGCATCACCAGGATGGATACGAGCAGGTCGGTGACCGCCAGGGAGGCGATCAGGTAGTTGGCTGGGGTATGCAGCTTCCGGGTCCGGTACACAGTGGCGATCACAAAAGCATTAGAGAGCGTGGTGGCCAAGGTGATGAGTGCCAGCAGCATGACCAGTAGTACTTTCCAGGGCAGGGCGATGGAGTCCTGGTAAATGTAGCCCTCGGCGCTGCAGTTGTGGGGAGCAGAAGAGAGATTGGCTTGAGGAACCCCGGTCTGGGAGCCCGCGGGCGGCGGCGGGGCGCACCGTGTGCCGGTTTCTTCCATGTCTCTCCTCGCCACTGCTCTGGAGCGCAGCTCTTGGGCATGGAGCAAACGAAGGAAAGGGCTGCAGGACCGCGGAGACCAGTCTTGTCTCCCGGTTGCTAGTCAGTTCCGTGGGCTCCTCAATTATTCCTCCACCCAGATTCCTGCTGAAACTCGAGGTCAAGGGCGCGGCAGCCTAGGCAGGCGAGCGCGTTCTCTGCACTTCCAGTGCGCCAGGCGCTGCCGCCGCGTCCCAGCCTGCTCCTCTCCACGCCCCGTCTTAGCCCCGGGTTGCTAAGGACTGGCCCGCCGAGCCCCCGCTCCACTCGGAATCCCACCTAGGCGTCTAGTGCTGGAGGGCGTTGTATTGTTTGAGGAAGGAGCATCAGCCAGGTAGGGTCTCTTACCCCAATTGCTCGGGGCTGAGTCTCCTAACCCGGGAGCTCCTCGATCTGCAGAATCGGCCCGCAGGAGTTTCCTAGCTGTCGAGACCAAAGCTTGCAGGCCAGCCAGGAGTCCTGGTCTTGCATTCCCGCCCCCCTCCCCAGACTGGGGCAGTTTCCTGCGGCTGCTTAGGCCGCCAGAGCTGGGTGGGGTGAAGTCTGGGAGCCGCGCCGCGCCGCGCCGCGCCTCGCGCGGGAGCTCTGCCCTCCCTTCTTTTCACGCGCTGGCCACTCCGGCGAGCTGCCCCGCGGAGACGGGGCCGCCAGAGGGGGGATTCGGGGGCTGGGGCTGCGGCTGCTCGCAACGCGCCGCCACCGCCGCCACCACCTCGGTCCCACAGGCACCGCTTGGAGCCATGCTGCTGGGCGCACGGGTCGGGGGGAATTGGCGCGGCACGCGGGTAAGGGGCAGGTGTCTTGGGGAGCTGGAAGAACGCTGCGTGCGCCAGCCCGGGAGGAGCGTGTGAGCGGCAGAGCAGATGGGCTCCTTTTATAGAGTCCAGGTCGGGTCTGCTCGAGCCCTGCAACTCGTGCGGCTCAGCAAGTGCGGACGCCCGCTCCCCATCACCTTCCCCTTTTCTGTCTCCCTCCCTCTTTTCCTCCCGCCCGGATCCCTCCCCGGCCAAGGAAGCTTCCCGCCGGGTCCTACCGCCCTCTCTCCCCAATACCTATCCCCTGGCCCCTCTCCCAATCCTGACACCCAGACGCCGCAGTTCTGGCCAGGATTGGGGATGAGGGCGTCCTGTCCTTGCCTCTGTCCTCTTCCAAGCTTGCGGCGCGGCCCTCCAGTTAGATCCACGCCCTTGGCCGCGGGCACAGGCACACTCCCCGCTTACCTTCCCGGGCTTCTACTTACCACCCCCCACCCCAGCAGACCAGTGCTGGGCGGAGCCAGCCCCAGGCTCTGACCTCTCCACTCAGGAATTTTATCCAGCCCTGCGGACCACACCCAGGTTAGAAGGAGGCACCGGTAATATCGCCTTAGAAGGAAATGGCCAATAGTGCATTTTAAACTTCGGGCTTCGAGTCATACTTAACTCTTGGTACAATGCAAACTAATTTTTCACATCTGGTTTTAGGAATCTGTGTTTTCCATTCAATGCCCCGCCTTTAACTGTGGGCCAACAGGGGAGAAAAAAAACTGTCTACAAAAATGTGAAAGTATCACAAACCATAGCCTACTGTATGTGAAAACTAAACCTTCCATTTCACCCTCCCTCTCCAGCCACTCAGCAGTTCAGTGCCAGTGGAAAACAGTTCACAGTAAGCACCTTCCCTCCCACAGCCTGCCCGGAAAGGAGGTCAACAAAATTCAAAAGGAAGAAAAAAAAGAAAGAAAGAAAGAAAGAAAGGAAAGAAAGAAAGGGAAGAAAGAAAGAAAGAAAAGAAAGAAAGAAAGAAAGAGAAAGAAAAAAACGGGCTTTGGGACCATCACCACCAGTGTGACTCCTCTGGTGTCAACAAATATAGCAGGATATCAGCTATATGTGGCACCAAGCAATGCCAGCTCCCAGGTGCCATGACCTTTGATCAGATCCCTGGTGCTCATTTTCCTCCTCCAACCTTAACAAAAATCAATGTAGGGTAGAAATACAAGTCAGACAAAGTTTAAAGAAAAGCACCAGAAAAGGGCAATGTACTTTCAGCCCCCGCTGGGAGTTTCTAGCACCTAGCTCCATGTTTGGCAGGTATAATCCATTCGATGAACCCTATGTCATAAGTGACTTTATCAGGTTAAGTGGAAGCAAATTTTAAAGAGTATTATTTAGTCTAGGGCCCAAGATTATCTCGCCCATCCATTTAGTTTCGAAGAATAATTGAGATCCTTTGAGAGAAGAGCTTTTTATCCAAGGTGACGCAACCCTAATCCAAGTTGTCTCATTTTCCTCCTCCCTAAACCAGGCAGGAGGGCAAAAATAGAGTGCTTTCTCTGTGCTGCAAATTCTAGACATCAGGAGTATAATGCGGTATACCCAGACCCAGTTATCAAGCAGCTTATATTCTAGAAGAGGTAGATGACAATAACCACATAAACAAGTAAACTAGTATACGTTCTGATAGCATTAAGAATTATGAAGAAAACAGCACATTCCTGCATTGAGAGTGAAGGTACTCCTTCAGGTGGCAGTTCTCCAAAAATGTCCTCTGGAAGCCTTGCAGCTTCCGTGCTGAGGTTAAAAGCAAAATCTTCTCTTTCCTCTCTTCTTGACCCTAGTGCCCAGCATTGCTCTGGCTAACCTTAAGCCTCATTTGCACCACATATTAGGGGGTCCTGCCCATCCTCCCATCCCTCCCACCCACCCACATCAGGAGCCTAAGCAGGCGAGGATGACGACGACGACGACTACTACTACTACTACTACTACTACTACAACTACTTCTTCTTCTTCTTCTCCTCCTCCTCCTCCTCCTTCTTCTTCCTCCTCCTCCTCTTCTTCTTCCTCTTTTTCCTCTCCTTCTTCTTTTTGCAAACTGCAGCACTCTCTTAGAAATCACAGTAGAGGAAAGCCAGGCAGGCAAGCCCAAACCACTAGGTGGGGGCGTTGGCCAGGATGCAACACAAGTGTGTGTGGTTGCGGGTGCGGGGTGTGCCAGGAAAACTATTTTCCTGCTGTCTTAGAGGAACCGGGCAAGATGAGGAGAAGTATTGAAAGGATGCAAAGCGGAGGAAGGCAGAAAGGAATTTTACCAGGCTGCAGGCAGCCTTTCTAAATTTCGTCTCCAGGAGCGTGCAAAGGAGAAAACCACTTGCTGCTTCTAGGGTTTGGATTTAGCGATGTAGGGAACCTGTGGCTTTCTCCAGCCACTCTCTTAAACTGCTTCGCGGAGTCCTGAACCCTGGGTGGAATCTGCCACCTTTGCGTGGAGTTTGATTTTTTCCTAGGCTTTGGTTAATTAAGAATTGCGTGAACACAACAAGCCGTCATACAGAGGGGATTTAAGCAAGGGTTTAGTGGCGAACCACGTTTCATTAACTTGGCTCCCTCCTTTAGCACTTTAAAACATATAAAATACAGATGTTGCTCACGGGCGCATATGTGTGAAACACACAGGAGAGCAAGTGACCTTTAAAATAACCTCTGCTTGGATCTCCCCTACCTACAGAGGAGAGGCCCCTGGGCACGCTGCGCGCCCGAGGGAGGAAAGTCCCTTCAAGTTACCGTGAAACTCAGCCTACACAGACTTGGCGAGAGGGCAAGAAGAGGAGGAGTTGGAAAATGCTGAAATGGGGCGGTAGAGCGCAGTAAAAGGTTATTTGGGTTGAAATCAGTTCTTGTTTAGCCACAGGGCAGTGCGACTGCAAAAATTAGTGTGCTCCACGCAGGTGGACCTTATGCAGAAGCTGAGGGGGTGAAGGATAACGCTGGAACCGCCGTGAAGCCTGCGATCGGACACGAAGTCTAACATGGTGGTGAGCTATGGAGGGATCAGAGAAAAATCGCCTCTCAAAGACAAGTTTGCCTAAACTAGAACGATTTGGAATTGCTGATGCAGCGAAATGAGAGGCTGAGAGGCGCAGGTTGGAAGTTTGCGGCGTGGCGCTAGCTAGAGGAAATGCTGTGAAGAGCAGCTCCTTCCACTTCCAGGACACTACAGCAGACACCCCCTAGAACTTCACTGCGACTGGACTCTGTTTTGGCCTGAAGCCAGCCAGCCAGCCAGCCAAGGGGGGTGAGGGGTGGAGGTCACGTGGTCACGTGGGTCATGCTTGCAGCATCCCGAGGGTCTTCTCTGCATTTCCCAGCAAGTGACCCTTAAGAGAGCTCCAGGCACAGGAGCAAAGAAAATAGTTGTAAGTTAATCTTGGCTTTGCTGCAATAACAAACAAACAAACAAAAACAAAAAACAAAATCAAAACCAGGATGCTCAAGCTCTAGTTGCTTTGCTCCTTTGATAGAGGAAAATGCAATCTCACACTCTCCATCCCCACTGCTTGAAAAATCCACAACCAGTCCCTAACCAGAAAATGTGGGGACCTGGCAAGCTACTTTTCTCAAGTCCTGCTTTCTCAATCTGTGGCCACTGTTTTTTGTTGTGATTGTTTTACACTGCCACCCAGGAAACAGACAGCACGTGACTGTGAGCTCTACACATTCTCATGTGTGGTGGTAGCCCACTTTTGGTTCCTTTTATATTCCTCCAGTAATTATTCTTCTAAAAGTATATTGGTAGTAATGAAAGTACGAGTCTTACTTATGTCTTGTTTCATGGGACTATGGAAATGTTCAGATGAATGAACATATACATACACACAGACATATGCATACAGTTTTCACAGACACCTTTCGGAGATTACCAAACCCTGTGAGGCTCAGCTCCTTCTCCATAATCATTGAGCCCACTTTGGGCCTTTGACTAGGTATCTGTGTCAGAGTACTCATGTGCTGTATTCTTAATAAGGGAATTAATGCCAAATAATAAAAACAGGTGCTTTATTTCCCAAATTCTAGACTGGCCTAAATTAATCCCTGAGAATTAGTAACTCTGCTATGTGTTTATGTATGGATACAAATACTATGTGTCTATATTTAAGGAAGAATGCCACAAAAAAGTGGAGCAAGTATTCATAAGTTAGACACTTTCTAATTCCTGTCTCTGTAATAACAGCCACTTTGCTACTTTGAACAGGTATCTACAACTCATAAGTTACCTCTGGTTCAAAGCTAGCTAGCCCAGTTCCAACTAGTAGAAGAGCTTGCTCCCAACTTAATTCTCAATCACATATTTCCTGACTAAAGATCTAGATCCTGGAAGAAAATTTCTAACCTAGTGCTTAAAGTAATATTAACAGAGATTGCATGGGGGAGGGGGCATTGAATTTCTCTTTTTGGACAAACAGTGGGATTTGGCAATAAAAATCTTTGGATGGAAAACAATGGCAGTGAGCTCACCAAACTTAGAAACACTGTGCTGCCTTAATTTGGCAGATCCTTAGGCAGCTCTGTGAAGGGTGAAGTCTCTCCTGAAAAATCAAATAAAACATTTAACAATGAGGCTGTCCACTGGCCCAAGGAAAGAAGCAATAGAAATTGGGTTTTGCCTTATTTTCAAAGTATGGAGAATTACATTATTCTGAGTGATTAGTTCCAGTCTTGCAAACAAACAAACAAGAAGCAAAACGAGTCAAGCCAGTTTATTGTTTCCTCACCTATAACTAACGGATAATTATCATCACCTTCCGTGAGCACCATGAATTAA